AACACTAATTATTTAGTGTTAATAATAATACTGTATACTTTCATTATTTCATTACTAATGCATACACACATACACACACACACACATATTATGTGATAAGGCTTAATGCTACCATTGCAAGACTAGACAAAAGCAATTATGTGGTAAATGCATTTCTGATCAATCAAGCTTTAAAGGTAACAATAGAACTATTGTAATCTTGCTAATAACCTATATTGGAACTGAATGTGAAACTCATAGGATAGTATTTTAAATGGGATGTTTCATTAGTTATGCTCATTGGTTTTAAGATTTTTGTTTGTTGGTTTTATTTGGATTTTATGGCATAAGAAGAACTATATTAAAATTAATTTTTAGGAGCCGAAGCTAGTTAAATAAAGTATAGTCAGGACTGATACTTGCTATTGGTAGAGACATGCAATGCTAGAATATTGTTATACTCTGAATGAGCGTTACTGCTAAACTCAGGAATATTTTGCAAAATTCTGTACATTTAAATATTTTAATTGTAATTTTTCATGTTTACAATATCTTCTGAATAAAGGCATATGATTTTTATGATTGTTTTTAAAAATTACCTTGATCAAATTTCTCATTGCACTGGCTGATAACTTATGGAAGCTATACTGTGTTTGCAACCTTTTAGTTAATAGGTAAGAGCATTTTGTATCTGGTAACTAGATAATAGCTGAATCGAAATCTACAGCACAAATGTGTTTACTGAGAAATAAGTCCCACCAAGTTCAGTAGATATTGAATTAATAATCTTTAGTGAAAAAAATATATTTGGATATACAGTAAGTCACTGAGTTTTTCAATTATATATTTTTTTATTAAAATATTCAAATTGAGCTTAGTATGGATTTTTAGTTCTTCAAAATAAAGTATGATTTTGGCCTGTTCAGATTTTGTTCTTCTACATATGCTAAACATATCTTAAGATTTGAGAATTTATTTATTTGAGAATATTTCTGGGGCAGGAGTTACATCAGGAACATTTGTCAGTGAGTCTGCTATGGCTGTATTTGATCTAAATTGTTACCCAGGGAATGCATAATGACAAATATAGTGTATTTACAGTATTCAGTACATTCAAGTATTGGGTGGGAGTAGTGTGGGAGAAGAGAGGTGCTACAGCTGTCACATATATTTAATACCTACAGTACTGCAGTTGTTGATGCCAAATCCTGCTGTTTTTTTGCATTAGTTGCATGTAAGCTTTCCCATCTGCATATGACCTAAATGTAAACATTAATTGTATTCATATCTCTGTATATATGTATTAGGATTTTTTTAATCACTCACTTCCTCTCCCAGCTTAGAGCATAGTGTGTAGCTTTCTAGCAGTTCCCAGAAATAAACCCTATAGGGCTGGGCAAAGGAATTTACTTGTTTCTCTTTTTAGTTTCTTCTTGTCTCAACAATGTTCTGCTTTTTTATAGTGTTTAATAGAGGTTTAGCTGCTCCAATCCTGATTCCAAGCAATCAGACTCTTTCCCTCAGGTCATGCAGGAATCCAAGCCAGTGAAACCATTCTACCCGTAGAGTGATAATACCATAGATTTCAAACATACTCTGCTGGGTAGCAACAGAAAGTATAATTGTTCCCCCCAAATGTCATCAAAGGGGAGAAGCAGAGAAGAATGCTGAAGTCAGATATGTCATGAGGACCTGTGATACGTCCATTGTGACTGATCGCATTTTTCAGTGCTGGGGTAAAACACATCTGTGGTTTTAGCCTACAGTAGTTAAGCTATGTGTATGTTTGGTGATTATATAGATTAAAACAAAGGATGTTCTTAAGATTTTTACAATGATACTATAAATAGGCTTTATGAATATTGTTGTATTTGAAACACTAATTATTTAGTATAGTACTGAAAAAAAACAGGGGTATGATTTAATCCACCGAAAGCACAACGTTTCATGTGGGATTCTGTGGATTTGACAGAGCCTCGATCCCTTCACCCTGCTGGCATACTTGCAATACAGTATGTGTTAAGGGAAATAAAAGATATGTACTTCATATATCCCTTCGTCCCATTCACTGCAAGTTAATGTAAAAATGGCATCTTTCATTCTATGCCATGTTTCAAAGAAAAAATAAATGTTTTATTTCACATTTACTAGAAAAACTCTTAACAATGTATCTTTTTTTGCATTTTCATTAATTCTGTTTGTTTCCTAGTAGTCCATGAATAAAGGTACTGCTCGTGCCAATCAAATTTTGGTGGTAATGTTCAAGTGATTTTTTTTTCAACTGATCTGCTTTTCAGATTACCAGAGACTGATGACCGTGGCAGAGACAATCACAGCATTGATGTTTCCATTCCAGTGGCAGCATGTCTATGTCCCTATCCTTCCAGCCTCTCTCCTACATTTTCTAGATGCTCCTGTCCCATATTTAATGGGATTGCACTCTAATGGGCTTGATGACCGGTCTAAACTGGAGCTCCCTCAAGAGGTGAGAGAAAGTTTATCAAGCTCACTTTCAGTGGTTGTTTAAAGAAGTTACAAAAAAGGGATCTGAATTCATTTCATACCTATTCTTGCTGTACACAGGAGTTCTTAGAAGAGGAATGATAGCTTATTAAGGGTGGAGATGCCTTGTAACCAGAATCCATCACTCATTTACTCTTCTCTTGACCTCTTCTAATCCTCATTATTTGCTTAATAGGGCAACCACTCCAAATGCTTATGGCTAAGTAGTATATGAGGGGGTATTAAGATTTCTTCTGCTTGCTATTATTCTAAATAGATGGAGAGAAAAAGCAGCCAGAAAATATATTGCTACCATTATGTGATTGGGAATCACCGTGGAGAGGATGAATTGGGAATACGTTACTGTTTTTGCAACAAGGGGGATATCTAACTATTTTTATATCCAGTGTGCAGTACCTGTGATCCTCTAGATCAGTGGTTCTCAATGTGGGCCATATTTCTAAATATAGATAGATAATTATATTAACAGCAACTATGAGGGTGGTCACAGAGGTAAATGAGGCTCAGTAGGGGGCCAGGAACAAAAAAGGGTTGAGAACCCCTGTACTGCATTTTTATTGTTAAATTTCCATGTCTTTTACTAAATAAAAACAGAGCATGTATATTTCACACAGGATGTTTCTAAACGTTTAACCTGAATTTATGATTACTCTTATCTCTCGTCCTTCTTTAATTTTTAGGCAAATTTGTGTTTTGTGGATATAGACAACCACTATGTTGAGTTGCCAGAAGACTTGCCTCAATTTCCAAATAAACTTGAATTCATTCAGGAAGTCTCTGAAGTCCTTATGGCTTTTGGGATTCCACCTGAGGGAAACCTGCATTGTAATGAAAGTGCCTCGAAGATGATGAAAAGCCTCAGGACCTGTGACATAGTCTCTGATAAGAGAAACGGTAACATAGGAGGACCAACTATGAATTCTTATGAACTACTGAAAGAAAATGAAACCATAGCAAGACTGCAAGCACTTGTTAAAAGAACAGGAGTTAGTCTAGAAAAGGTAAATTGGATAATAGTGAGAGGAGTTTTGTAACAGTACACACGATTAATGTAGGATTGTTTGGAGATTTTATCTTGAACTGGTGTTACTGCTAACAGCAGCATCCATGGCAGCCAGTATAAATGTTTTAAGTCAATCAATCAATCCCTGGGCAGGGAGTCAAAAAAGCAAGATGGTGATTGTGGCAGTGCAGACAAAGCCCTGCTCATGTTGTACATGTATTGACATCAGACATGCATGTACAGAGGCAAGGCTTCAATTGTCCTGCTGCAACTAATGTCTTGCATTTTTTGACCTCCCATGGACACTACTGGCTACTTAGCTTTATTCCCAGTTCACGTATATACTGTCTGCTAAACTTAAAAGCTTGCTACCTACAAAGATAATAAGGTGCTTGTTTCATTAATTTGGCAAGTATGTTCCCAGCAAGCTGTCACAGTGGTATCCTAATTTTTGTTTGAATTTGTCAGTGATTAGGTACCAGTTAATTATTTCTTAGATGTTGACACTGAAAGGAGTGCCTTTCTGATATGTCAATTTCTCTCTTTTATTTATTCACTGTACTATTAAGGAGTAAGGACAACCTGCTTAAGACTTGTAAGAGCGTGTTTTTGATACTAAATAAACCTATGCTATAACTGATATTTTTTGATACTATAAATAGCCTATCTATTCTCTTGTGTTAGAAGGTTTATGTGGAATAATGTTTGGAAATTGGCTACTAGATATGCCAAATATGACTTTTTTTCCCATTTTGTTTTATAAAGACAAATAAATAAAATATGATTGGACCTAACTACGAAAAAAAGTATCTTTAAAAAAAATTATGGAGGGTAAGAACATTTTAACAGAAAAAGACAATTCAAAATTTAAGATGACCCCTCCTCCTCCCAAAGGAAAAGAAATCAGGAAAAAAAAAGTAGAGATAAAAATTCTATTCTAGTTTTCCCATCTTGTCAACCTAAGGTTCCCAACTCCAGCTGAAACTTATCCTGGGGATTTCTCCTCTCCAGTAAATGTGGCCATATGTCTTTCTTGTATATCTGCGTGGGCATCCATGGATGAGAGACAATGGGGAAAACAATGTGTTATGTCATTATGCAAATACCACAACTAACATACTTGGATCAGATGTCAGGATACATTCCAAAAAAGGGGCAGAGGTGTGACAAAAATTTGAATTGATGACTACTCATTAAAATTAATTGCCTATAATATAAGGTCCTCACACATCAACTAATCTCTCTTACATATTCTCATATATTCATATATTCACATAAACACATTTGTCTTCCCTCCTTCTATCAGGAATGGCAAAAAAGCCCCATCAAGGAGCTGGGGAAATGGAATGGAATAGCTGCACTGAGCAGGAACTAAATAGAAAGGGGGAACAAAATTGGGTACAGATGAGAAAGGAAAAAAAAAAGGAAAATTCTTGTTTAGACATTCTAGAATGGGTTAAAATTCACTCTTCAAACAAGTTCAAGCAAGGTCTAATATTTAGACTAATTTTAACAAGTATTTTTACTTCATAAGAACATGAAAAATAAAAATACTACTGGTATTATATCTGCCACTAGTTATTTGTACATTCCTTTGTTATTAGCAGAGCAAATCAACCCCTCACTTAGTAAGTAATTTCCTTTCAGCTAAGTATAATGTTACTTTGGATATTAGTGTGGTGCTCCTAATTTTATAGAATCATTTAACAATTAGCAGTTGCTGTCCGACTGATAATTCCTAAGTTATTCACTCTTAAGAAGTTTTACAACAGATATATTCCTTGAGCAAGAAATTTTCAGAAAATGTGTGAGTATGAAGATCTAAATAATTTGTAAAGATAATTCCCACTGGAAATGTATTTTTAATCAGGAATGCAAGGTGCTAATCTACTGTATATAGATGCAGTTACTTTATTTTTTGCCTAGCAATAGAATAATGGAGCACTATTCTGTAAAAGCTCTTTACATTCCAGTTTAAATAGCACTTATACATCTTGATTTCTCAGGATATTAAAGCTGAATCACTATATGAGCATCTCTTTCTTTACAGGTTGAAGTTCGAGAGGAGATGAGTAGCAAGAAGGATCTGAAAATGCAATGTGATGAAGAAGAGTTAAAGATTTACCAGCTCAACATTCAAATACGGGAAGTTTTTGCAAATCGTTTCACTCAGATGTTTGCAGATTATGAAGTATTTGTTATTCAGCCCAGTCAGGACAAAGAGTCGTGGTTTACTAATAGAGAGCAGATGCAGAACTTTGATAAAGTGAGTATGAAAATAGAAATTATTAATATGAGGAAGAAGAGGATTTGAACAAGTCCATGGCACATCCCAAATTGCCTAAACCATAGTTTGCAAAATGGAAATAGGATATCTGAACTGAGGCACAGAAAGATTATTAAAAAAAGAACGCTTGACAGCAGCCATCAGTAGGTTTAATTTTGATAGGACCAGTGTGATAAATTGTAGATGGATATGCCTTATGAACAATAAGAAATGGAGATTGTTCTGATGAATCACAATCAATATATCTTTATAAATTATATCTCAGGTAAAGGATTTCGTTTTTGATGAGGGCATTTTACATAGGTTCCTGTGTCTGATAATCTTATTTGTTTGGGTTAAAACTTTCCTACTTTTGATATCTATCTCTGATACTACTCATGATGTTAGATATGTTATCAATATTTGAGGAAAGTATACTTCTTTAATGAACAGGCTACATCTGCTGTAATAAATTTGCAGGATTAGTCATCATGACCAAATCCAGAAGGCCTTATATGAGCACATGATAGCTTTAAACTATTTTTCTTCTAATAGTAATTACCTTCTTCTTTGTATATTGCTGATGCAATTCCCTCAAATGTTATAAGATTATAAAGGAAGAAATGCTTTCACTTACAGATTGAGTATCTCCTGAACAGAGATGGATGTAAGATTCATGTCTGAAATCCTTGAGAGTCACTGCCACTTAGTGTAGATGACTAAATATCTGATTTCATATAAAGCAGCTGTTCCTGTATTCATAGTTTGGTACAGGAATTCTGTCAGTAAACTAGAAAGAAAGGCCCAGATGTATGGTTATAATCTGCATTAATTAAAATTGGTAAAGTACAGTAGTTGAATCCTATAGTTGTTTCCACATGTTTGTGATTTTTGTCACCTTCCTTTGTATGCCTTCAATTTTTCCTTAGAATTATACATCTCTGGGAGTTGGTAATATTTCTAATCTTGAAAAATATATTTCCTAGTTACTTCCTTATATGGACATCATACAGGTGATAATGTAGATTATGTTTTCTCTGTTGGAACTATGTTGCAAGGGCTTTGACTTTTAATTGATCAACCACTTCTTTACTTTAAGACTTTACTTTAAGAGCTCACATACTTGTTTGCATAGCAGGAAAATGTAATCCAAACAATCTTTTTTTTTCCTTCAAATAAAAAGATATTAAATTGTGGAAAGGGAATCTTTATCTTTAGTGTATTTCAAAATGTACTATATCAGAATATGGTAAAATAGAAAATAACTTCAGATGAATGAAAGCATTCATGTCATTTTTAAAAAGCAATTATAACTTAAGGAAACATAAATTCCCCTTCTTTCACTTTATTAGGCATCCTTCTTGTCTGATCAGCCTGAACCTTATTTGCCTTTCCTCTCAAGATTTTTGGAGACGCAGATGTTTGCTTCTTTTATTGACAACAAGATTATGTGTCATGATGGAGATGATAAAGATCCTATCTTGAGAGTGTTTGATTTTAGAGTTGATAAAATTAGACTGTTAAATGTTCGAACACCAACTTTGCGCACATCCATGTATCAAAAATGCACTACCATTGATGAAGCTGGTAAGAGCTGCAAAATTTAATTCTTTTTGTATAAATGTAAGAGGTAAAGGGCACTAATTATATACTAATAAAACTTAGTTGCTACTGACTTATGTGTATCTAAGATACAGCTGAGAGATGCAGCATTTTTAAATGATAAAAACAGAGTAAGTAACACATGAAGAGCTTAGAAAAGAATAAATAGTAAGACAAATTAAAAATGAGGTAAGAAAAGAAAATGTAGCTAAAACTAATTTACACCTGCACCATTTACTGTACCTTTCCATTCATTCTTCTGGAGGTTCCTTGTTTAGCTGTCTTCATCCACTTACAGAACAGTTATTCATCTTTATCAAAATCGTTGTCATATTCTCTCATTATTTAATTTTAACTATTTCTTGTTCTCTCTGAATACGTTATTGCAACTATCTTTTTCTTTCTATACGCATGCAATCTCTTTCATTTGCATTTCTTGCAGCAGTCATTCTCTAATACACCTTTTTTCAACAACAGCCTCTTTCACTTCATCATTCCACCAAGAGGCCTTCTTCATGCCTTCCTTTAGCATAGCTCCACACATTACTATGATACTCATTCTGTTCCACACAGCTTCCACAGCCTATTTTCTTACCCACTTTCCATTCATTTTTTAAGGAGAGTAATCCATGGTCTAATACTTTTTCATATAGTGCTTGTACTTCCTCCTCCTGCAGTCATTCTACTTTCGCTCCTTTCTTTCACTATTTCCTTTCCTTTGATAACCATTTTTTCTAATGATCCACTTTTGACACTACTAACAAATAGCCTGTCCCATGTTCCTTATATCCTTCAGTAATACTGTCAATTTGTCATCATAAATAATGAAGTAAATCATACTTTTAGATTTATATTCATTCCCTTGCCACATGTAGACATGAATAAGCTAGTTATTAAATCATGCATTTGAAACAAATAGACCTTTGTCTAAGCAGCTATTCACAAACAGTCACCATTCTCATTTGTTCCTGGGTCTCTAAATAGCCCAGTCACTTTTTCTGTACTCTCTTGCCTAGTCACTTAACAGAATAATTTTTCCTTTGGATCACATTCATTCAGAATGTTGCATAGTTTCCTACAAAAGCTCATTCTGGATCTACCATTATCACTATTTTTGAGAATGTAACATACAGGTTTCACAGACCTATGGATTTCTACTCTCTTATGCACCTACAACAACCTTGATGACACTAGTTCATACTTTATGACATACATTTTAGCTCTTTACCTCCCTAAGTAGATTAATCTGTTCACAAGGTTAGATCACCTTCACTCAGATCTATTACACATTTTCTCTTAGTTTCACAGACACACAAGATATTTATTTTTCTTTCTTTAAATTTCATTCATTAATTTAAGCTCTTTACCATTTATCTTCCTGCATTCCAAGTCATAATTTTCAATATGCCATGGTTACTACCTGGTGGACCAATAGATACTGACCTCTGCCACCCCATAAGACTTTGGTCAATTGAAGTTTTCACATAAAACTCTTTAGTCATGTAAAGGTGTACATTAGGTTAACAACTTTAGTAATATCCTGCTACTTGGAGCATTTCTTGCTAATGGTAAGGATAATAAATAAGTATATAAGTATAAGTAATAATAAATAAAATGTATGTAAGTATATAAGTATAAGTAAGGATAATAAATAAGGAGAGCCAGTCTGGTGTTGTGGTTAAG